GCGGGGGGCCCTGGGCGGGAGCCCTGCGACAGTGCCGAGATGCAGCTGAAGGTGGACTTCTTCCGCAAGCTGGGCTACTCCTCGGAGGAGATCCACGTCGCGCTGCAGAAGCTCGGCCTGAACGCCGACACCAACACCGTGCTGGGAGAGCTGGTGAAGCACGGCCCGGCTGAGCGGGAGAGCGCCGAGGCCCCGCCAGAGGCCAAGGAGGCCCCGCTGGTCCCGAGGGGGGGGGCCACGAACAAGACCCCCGCCACCGGGGGAGGAGACGGAGAGTGAGAACCTGAAGCCCATCGTTATCGATGGCAGCAACGTGGCCATGAGGTGTGTTTGGGGCTCTGGGTGGGCACAGCGGTCTCTCTGGGGCTGTCGGTGCCGTGGCCCGGCGAGGTGGTGGCTGTGCGTGACTTCTGGCTGTGGGGTGTGCAGGCGCTAAGACTCTGAAAAACTGGGGGTTTCTCACTGCATACAGCTACCACTGGATGCCCTGGTAGTGGCTGGTAATATTTTCCGAAAAAAAAGTAGCTCTCATGAGGATGAGCATCATATTTGCAGTCTACCTTGATGGTCTCTCCTGCCCATGGTCCGTGCCAGCTCATAACCAGTGGTCACAGGGCTCTGACGAGAGTGAGTGTGCTTCCTGGGAAACGCAGGCAGTTCCTCTATTTTCTTGCTTATGAGGAGAAGATACATTTTACTCTTGCCTAATGGCTTTATGTAAGTTTCTGTAGCAGGAAGTTGCTCAATAAGTAATTACAGGTTTAATTAGAGAAGGCTTTGTAATATGGAGCTGTCTCCTGCATTGGAGACCAGTCTCCAAATTGCAACTCTTGTATTTTGATTAAATTTTCATACGGTGTAGGGAAATGGGGTGCCAAAGGGGCACTCCGTATATGGTGTCACCAAGGCTGGGCTACAACTCATCCACAGCATCTCGGGTGTTCTGGTGCTGATGGCGCAGGTTCTGTCAGGTACTACAACCAGAGGCTTGGCCTGGAACAGCAACTTGGGAGCGCAGGAGCCCTAATATCCACAGAGCGCCATAATCTCTGCGCTGAATATTTATTGGCCTGATGTCCCTATCTTTGCCCTGGCTTGTGCTCCTGACAATGCCGGGCATTGCCTGCCCCCACCCCAATCCCCGATGCTGCACTCCTCATCTCTAGGCAGGGGTCTGGGCTCTGTTAACTTAATGCACCAGGATTCTGAATTGGGCTTTGTCATTGCAGTTCAAAGGCAAGCCTCCTCCACTGTGTTTGAGCTTAATAGATCTTGTAATGTGTGTTTGTGTACAGACTTTTTTTATAAAAAAACAACCAGGAGGGTGCACACACATCTGCTGCATGCATTACTGTAGACTTTGTCTAAGGTGAAAGTGCTGAGTGGAGATATGCTCGCAGGTGTGGTTTTCTAAGCTGTGGTTGACAGCTCTGAGAACAGGACTGAGAAAAGATGGGGTGCAGTCTGCTATGTGATTGATGAACAGAGCCTGTAAGTCCCAGGGCAAAGACAAAATTCTGATGGCAACTGAGCAGGGCTGGAGAGTAAAAGATGTCACCTAGGTGTCTGCAGAAGAGCACAGTCCTGTTGCTGTGGTTCTCCAGCAGCTGTGCGGTCACTTGAGGAAAATGGCCTGTTGTGAAACCTGGGGCTGATAAGTGTGACTCTTGCTGTGAAGTTTACCTTAGATAAGTGCTTGGGCTTAAACATCAGAATTGGTTGTGTTTTGAATGAGGAGCCTCTTGCCTGTGAAAGTTATCCCAAAAAGCACAGGAGAGATCACAGCAAATGTGACTCAGGGCAGGCCAGGCAGCAATAACGTTGCTGATAGGACAGAGTTTGACATGAGAAAAGCAGTTTGGCTTTTTTAAGCAATTTGCTAGAAGGGGAATTCCATTCTGAAACTTCCTGTATTGATGGTGTGATGTTCCCTGCTGATTCATTTGCAGTGTGTACAGCAGCCTCCCTCAACAGCTCTTGACAAACATATGCAAATCATAGTGGAAATTAGCTTTTACTTCCTTCTAAGGGAATTTTTTCTTGGCTGCTGCCAAATCAGATCAGCCCAATTAGCTACCTTCTGTAGATTTGAGATTGGTAGCAGCAACTCAAAAAATCTCTGCTTTTCTCATCTCTAAAGGACTATAGTAACCCGTGTCTGGCTACCTATAGCAAAACCAATCTGACAATGGACACAACTTCTAGAGCATCTTTCTTCTGACTGTTAATGTCAGCCTCTCTCTGGTTTGGGAGTCATAATGAAGATGTGTTAGGTAGCTCTTTAGGTGTTAGTTTTGGTGTGAAATGTATAGTTCTTATAGAACAATTATTTTGGTCCAACTCTTCAATTTTCTTAATAGCTTCAGAGAAGGGTGAGGACAGGAGGAGAAATAAAGTTTCTTTCTTGTGGTATGGTTGTACTACAGTAATAATGCTTCTTAGCGACGCCTCTGCTGGGTATGCTCTTTGGTAATTACTTTATGGAGGAGTTCATTAGCATGCTAAGCGGTGGTGGGAGTTGAAGTGTCATTCAAGTGTAGATGGGAAGAGTAAGACTTGGGGCAGGTGGAGTAGTGCTCACGTGGGGAAAAAATCTTACTGAATTATGAGACCAGTTATTTTCAGTATAGTACATCTTACCAGAGTGTCATCCTGAAATGCTGGTTATTAGATCCCCAGAATGACAAATTGGGCTGTAATACAGAATTGTTGAAAGTTTGCCAGAACTGTTATCAGCAGAAGAGCTGATTACACTGTAAATAGTGGCACTTGTAAAACAGGAGTGGTAGTTTCCTCTTAGAGGTTCTGGAAACTTATTGGTCTGACCTAATGAATAATTAAGCAGCAGCTTTTTGCATTGTTATGGAGCTTCTGATGCTGTTGTCAAACTTTGTTCTCAAACTGCCAAGTGCTGTTAAGATGTTCAGCACTGTTCCTGTTAACAGGAGATGTTGCTATTTTGTGAAAATAGTGCGTTTGGAACTGACTTTTTGGGCCATAATATAATGAAGAAGCATCTTTCATCAGTGCTGATGTCCTTGAATGCATAAATGTCTTGTTTTCCTTAACTTTACAATCAAAACACCTAGTGAGGGTGCTGTTTACTCTGGCAGAGGTTAGCCACTGGTGTTAGCTGGCAGAATAGGACAAAGGGTGTTCAAGATCACATTGTACTCAGGGCTAAAAATAAAGATGTAGAGTCTAGAGTTGAAGCAAGGGCTGTTTCAGAGCAGCTGCAACAGCTACGGCTGCTTTCTCCCTCCCACTGAGGATTTGGGTATTTATTGGTAAACTGAGGTGCTAAAAGCAATAGTAATTCTGTGTAGAACATCTTAGTGCTGTTATTTACACAAGATGAGCAATGTGTACTGATTGTGCTACTCTAACACTTCTTCACTAAAGGTTGTCTGAATTGCTGGATCTATCTGCTTAGTGTGTTACCTGACTAATCTGTACATAACCTGAATGCTGAAAATCTCAATTCTCTTCTTCGCAGCCATGGAAATAAAGAGGTGTTCTCCTGCCGAGGTATCCTTCTGGCTGTCCAGTGGTTTTGGGACAGGGGACACAAGGATATTACAGTCTTTGTGCCATCTTGGAGGAAGGAGCAGCCACGACCAGATGTACTTATAACAGGTGTGGAAATATGAAGACCAAAAGTAGCTTTTCAGGCTTACTGCTTTGTCAGTTAATGAGCTTGTGAAGTTCTGGCTAGTTAGTAATTAACTTAAGAATGGAAGATCTGAGTAGTAGGAGATCCAGTAAGCTGAGCTGACCAGTGGGAATTAGTCATTAACTTCTCCCCTAAGCAAGTTCTTGCCTGGGTCAGTTGGAATAATTCAGAGAACAGAATGTAGTACACTATGCTTCCTAAATTCTTGGGATTTTATTACTTGCATTTTTTCCCCTTTCAGGGACACATCTTCATGCTGTGTATTTGACTGTAACATATGTGACACTGTAGACTGTACAGAATTTCTACATGCTGAAAGTTAAAGCTTGATGGGAGTTTAGTGAGAATTACTTAAATTGAGGGGAATTTGCTCTGAATTTGCTAACAGCTGAGACTTCTAAGTGACTCTACTCAAATCTGTGTGGAGTATGGCATTACAAAAGCTACTAGCCTGTCAGTCTTAAATGCAAATTGCACATTGCTTACAAAGGATTATGTGGATGGGACTTGCTGTTGTTACATCAACCTCTGTGGTGTGCTCCAAGTGTTCTTGGGTACCACGCAGGCACCAGGGCTAGGGATCCATCTCTGACAGCCTGACGGATGGTGTAAGAAGAGATGAAAACACAGGCTGGGTTGCAAAGAGATGAAATGACTTTATAAATAAACGACAATGTTCATGTAATGTTACTTTATCTGTGGGGAAGGTCTCTGGGCTGTGTAAGTGTGTTCACAGTTGTGTTTGTTTTAGACCAGTACATTCTCCGTGACCTTGAAAAGAAGAAAATTCTGGTCTTCACTCCTTCCAGGCGGGTTGGAGGCAAGCGTGTTGTCTGTTACGATGATCGATTCATTGTGAAACTGGCACATGAGTCTGATGGCATTGTGGTTTCTAATGATACTTATCGAGACCTGCAGAACGAGCGTCCTGAGTGGAAGAAATTCATTGAGGAGCGTCTACTGATGTATTCCTTTGTTAACGACAAGTATGTTCCTAATCTTCCTTTCCTTTTAAAAAAGATCCATGTAAGCTTGCTGCCTTGTTTTAATGAAGCAATGGCAAGTGATGCATGAAAAAAACAAAATGCAGGTACAAAATGCAAAAAAAAATCCTTTAGAGATTTTTTGGTAGAAGGAAGTGTGGTGGGGAGAACTGTCCAACTGTAGTGAGGTACAAAGGCATAAGGAATTGGAGCTGTCTTAATAGCTGCTCATGGTTTGGAGCTAAGAATTCTGCCATAGCGGAGTTGCTAAGAGAGCTTCAGGACTGGATTTCTTCACAGGACAATCATTACAGGCCCAGCAGCAAGTACTAATTCTGGTCAGCAACAGAGCACAAAACCTTTTGTGCTGGAAGTGAAGCCCTTCATGCCAGTATTTACTAGGTGACAGAACAGTTGTCACTGCAGTGAAATAGGGAGGTTTTTTAGGGCTCGGATAGCTTTTAACCTTCAATGAAATCGGAGACTTCTAGAAGAAATGAAACCCTGGCCCAAGAAAGTGAACTGCTGCTGATTGAGATTTATTTTTCTTTAGGTTTATGCCTCCAGATGATCCATTAGGGCGACATGGCCCCAGCCTGGATAACTTTCTCAGAAAGAAACCTGTGGTGCCAGAACACAAGAAGCAGCAGTGCCCTTATGGTAAGACCTGACTTCTAAACATGAAGACTGAGGTGTCTGTGCAAGTGTGCAAGTGTAATTCATGTATTTAGTAAAATCCAGCTGGTCATTCCATGCTCTGTCTTTCCTTGCAGGGAAGAAATGCACTTACGGAATTAAATGTAAATTCTACCACCCTGAAAGGATCAATCAGCCCCAGCGCTCGTTAGCTGATGAACTCCGAGCCAATGCAAGGTTGTCTCCTACCAGAAGTACCAGTGCCAAGGAGGAGAAAAAGGGCAGAAGAGGTTCCCAGGCAGAGCTCGTGTGCTCTGTGCCCACAGAGAGTGATAAAAGCTCTTTGCAGAAGGTCCCTGTGGAGAGGAAAAGCTTGACCCACAAAGCAAAGCCCAGCGATGTTCCGCTTCAGGTCAAAGGCTGTGTGTCAGGCAGTGTTCCTCCTAACAGTGGGAGCCACAGGTCCTCTGACAGGTACCAGCAGCCTCATATGGACTCTCTGTCTTATATCTCTCAGGAGCATCTTGACTCAGGCATCGGGTCTCTGGAGAACCAGCTGTCTGACATGTGGCCTTACAGATCTACCAGTCACTGTGACCATTCCCATGCAGATCAGGTGGCAGTCTGCACCTGTGGTAGGCAGAGACCTGTCTACTCGCATTCTCCCAGCTTGGAGCAGAATGGTCTGGTCTCTTACAAGCATGGTTCCCATAAGTCATCTTCCTCTGGTGCTAGCTTCTTGCAGTATAGCCCTGAGATATCTCACTCAGGACCACCTCACTCTTTCTCAGGCTATGGAGTACCTGTACACCCAGCTAATGCTGCGCAATACAGTCTGCCCAATGAGTATAACGCCCCTCCGCCCCATTCTCGTGAGTACTGGTCTGAACCGTACCAGATGGCACCTCCTCAAGTGAGATCTACCAGTGTGCGAGATCCTCGTTCAGTACAGAGAGCCCCAGGGCCAGCGTACGGGGAGTCTTGCCAGTGGGCTGTCTCTGACCAGTTTGCGGAGGAGCGGGCCAATGTGCACGTCAAGCTGTGTGGCATATTCCATCCCCATTTAGTTGATGCTGTGATGAGCCGTTTCCCTCGGCTTCTGGATCCCCAAAGGCTAGCTGCAGAGATACTAACGTACAAGTCTCAGAACCCAGGTATATAGGCAGATGCTGAGGGCAGCCAGGTGTGTGAAAAGCCGGAGGGGCAGTGTTTGCACTCTGTAGCTGCCATAGATGCCTTCTGAGGGCTCCTCCTTACTCCTTGGAAGTACCAGGCTCCAGCTGGAGGCTGGATACCAGATGTGGTATGCTCACAGCAAGTTCTGGTCTAGACATGACTGTGTGCCCCTCTTAAGGGCAGCCTTAGCGTCCTGTCTTCCCCAGGGAATGTTGAAGAGGCTCTGGGTGCTGAACAGGAGAAGAGGCTGCAGCTTCAGAGTAGGGCTCTTCCTTTGGTGTTGTATGGTGGGTCAGGCACACCCTAAATTCCTGCAGTTCAGAACTGAATGTGACCTTATTCTTCCTCTTAGCTTCAGTTTTTGAGATGGCTTAGTGTATTACCAGGCATAGGGAGGGAAGATGCTGGGGGGGCTTCTGAAAGATAAGGGGTACCTTTGCAGTGGTGTGAGACTTACTTGTGAAGACTGAAACGCATTGTCAAGGCTGCTCTTAGCCCTTTACTAAGCCTTTTTACTATATCCTACCATGCAGATCTGTGGAAAATGTTGCATTATAAATCTAGTATGATGCTAGGTTTAGCTGACTTTAATTTGGTTTTATTGGTGCACTTCTTTAATGATCCTTTCCGTGCCCCTCCTGCTTAAGCTTACCTTCCTGAGATGAGGTGATTCTCCAGTATGTGCCATAAGTGCTTAGCAAGCTGCTGAGCTCCAGAAATAAGGGGAGCTAGACTTGCAATACTTTCTCAGGGTGGGAAGCCTGACACTGTTCCAAAGCTACATTTGAGTTGTGTGTTCGGCATTTGCTGGAAAATGCAGTTGTCAGAACATGTGGATGACAACGCTGTTGATGCTGCTCGAAAACATTGACCTTGGCTGGTAACCTGTCTTAGGCTATCTTTGTACAACACTGACGACGGGGATTTATGACGTTGTGCCTTTTGTCTTCAGACAGCAATAGTTTTGAGCATTCAGTAAAACAGCTGTAGTCATGTCTGGACTGCTGCCAGTACTGTTCCTGAGGATTCCTTAATATTTTTCTCTGTAAAGCTGTTGCTTCATCTTCCTTCTTACTAATGTTTTCCTGTCCCCTTCAGCTTTATCAAACTAGCAGTATCCAAAAATGTAGAATAAGACTTATTTGGTAAGACTGTTCCCCTCTCATTCCCTCTTACTCTGTAAGATGTTTTTTACTGTAGATATCGTAGCAGATTTTAAATATGCAAAACCAATTGCTGTAGTAATTGGTTCTGGTCCTGGAATTTCATTGTGCTTAGGATGCAAAGATGTTTCTTGCACTTGCAGGCCAGAAGCAGTTGATTTGTTGATACACATTGTATCTGTGGTTTTGTTATGTTTTTAAATGTCCATCTTGTGGTTAAACCAAGGTCGTTGAGTGGCAAATTATGAAGGTGAGAGTGGAATACAGCTGTTTGAGAACCCTCTTCAGGAAGGGTTTTGTCTATTACTGTTCTTCCCTCTGACTGTCTGAGGCGTGACCTACCCGAATGGCACCATGTGCCGTAAAAACCACAGGGACACAGAAACCTGTATACCTGGTGAATTATGATACATTACAAATTAGTAATGTTTCATGTTAGTAAGCAAAATGCTTCTTAATTTTAAGTAACCTGATACTTTGCATATTTGTAAATTACAGGAAAAATGGTTTTTAATGTTATTGTCCAGCAACTTGCTGCTTGCTGCTGTTTTTAATTAGTACTATTCTCAACTCAGCCATTGTGTTACTTGGCGTGGTGTTTTTTGTTTTTCTGGTGGAATGCTGATATATGCTTCTTCTCTTGCAATCAGAAGATTAACGTTTTATACTCACAAGCTGACATTTTGCTGAACTTTCTGTATCATTATGCAGTATATAGTTTACGTACTGAATGGAGGCAGCCTTGTGAAAGCCATGGCGAAGTACGAACTTGTGTTATATAAATAAAAACTGCTGAGTTGAATTATTTGGTCTCTGGTGGCTTTTTGGAAGACCATTCAACATTTTGTCTGGCTTTCCAGGAAAGTCAGAAAAATTGTCCTTCTTCCCTGGGGTTCCTCTGACAATCTTAGATCTCTGTACGCAGTCTGATGGCAGCAGCAGCCTGATGGCAGGGTATCGGTAGGCTTGTTAATTGATGCAGTGTGGCAGGTCAAAAACAAAAAATCAAACTGCTGTAGCAGATAGCAGCGTGTCCAGTGTTTACTGTTTATTTGGCATTGCCCAGGTTAGCTTGCTCACAGGGCATGCAATGAGGCAGCAGTGTGCTGGCGTGTGGCTCTGCAGTGGAACCGCAGTGGTGTTGGAGGTCTCAGGTGCTAAAGAATGTACACTCCTAATTATTTTGGAATAAATAGTGTGGGCTGTGCTTCAGTTTTTAATGGCCAGTTCCACCGTACAGTCTGGAAATAAATGCGTATTTTACCCAGTTATGTAGCACATCTGTGCCAGATGTAGAGCATGATAATATATGCTAACTGTAACATGTCAAGACTTTGCTCTAAACTTTGTTATGACCTGGGAAGGAAATGCAGTAGGAATATGAATGCTCACATTTCTATGTAAGAATCTTCCCCTCCCACCTGCTGTGCTGCAGTACAGCATGTTCTTATCTGACTTGTTAAATAACTTTATTGTCTTATTCAAATTCGTGCTCTTAATATAGAGCAATGGCTATTTCTGGTTAATCAGAAACAAGGGAGGCAGGTGCTCCTGGAGATAGTGCTTTGTTTCACAAACCAAGTCTGAAGGGTCATTTACTGGCTGTGGGAGAGGAACCTTCCTGAGGGTGTCACCTGAAGTGACAACTCGTGTGGCTCTGTATGTGTATGATGGCTGGGGTCTTGGTGGGGAGGAGGTTAAGTGAAGAGTCTGATTTGATCACAACTTCTAGCCAAGTGAAGACTTTTCTGCTCTTTGTAGTTGAAAAATGCTACAGGATTTTAAGGCTGGTCTTCCAGTAAAATACCTTAATAGATAACTTCTAGTTTTGCAGGATGTGTAGATGTGGTGGTACAGGGATGTTTATTTTTATTTCTATCAAAGGAAGACTGGTACAACTAAAGGACTTGGTACCATAATGAGGAAGGGGAGAGCTGGTGGCCACCTGCTTTGGTTCTGATAACTTTTGTACTGCAGCAACAGTCCTGGTGGTGCACAGAGCAATTTGAGGGGTCAGTCCCTAACACAAATCTGGTTAAAATTCTTCCTGCAAACTGTGTTGTGTCTGCTGCCATACCACCCAGAAAACTCTGTGGAAACCTAGCTGCTGTTTCTCTGATTTCTCTCATTCTCTTGCACAAGGCTTCTGTGTGAGTGAACCTGCCGACTCCTGCCCCTGGAACATCCTGTGTTTGAATGGAAGTACTGCTTTGTGTGCCCCGCATCCCGGTGACCTGTTCCCTGTGCTGCTCAGGAGCTTGGGAAATGTGGGGAACGATGATCGGAAATGTCGCTGCAGATTTTTTTTCCCCCTGCACAATCGTCCACACAGAGTTGGAGGAGCTGCCTACCTGCTCACCGGGGACTGCTGCGCTCGGGCAGGCTCTTGCTGTGCTGTTGTGGAATTTTCAGGACGCATCCTGTGGTTTACCACTTCCTCAGGGTGCATCGACAGGGAGGACCTGTCATGATTGCTGTGTGCATGCATTGTGTTTCTTCTCCTTCTAAAATAGGTTAGATCTTCTTGTCTGCTGACTGAGTTAAGGAGGTCACACACAGGCATCCTGTTGAAAGCTGTGTCCTTCTCAACACACTGCACAACACGCAACTGCACAGCAAAAGGACAAACAGGCAGGGGAAGAGCCCTCCTTCAGAAGTCAGTGCTGCAGGATGTCTTGACTTTTGTTTTTTAAAAAGCAGTACTGAAAAGAGAGAAGGAAGAAAGGGGAAGCTGTGCTGTGGCAGAGGTCAGGGTATGTGCTGGATTCTCATTCCTCCTTCCCCTGGGCAGGGCGGTGACCCAGGAAGGGCCCTGGACAGCAGACGCAGCCCCCTGCTCCCAGCCCAGTGGGGATCGGGGTGTCTTGGGGCCTCAGCCTGCTCTCAGGGCTTGCTGGCCTCTCCCCTGCACCAGCTGCCTTGTGCCCTTCTTGCTTGCTGAACTCTTGTTTGAACCCATCTGGTTCACTCCCATCAGGGGATTTCCAGGATGTGGCTAGCTCAGCTCTAACATTTTAAGGCATTTCCAGAGGCAGGAATCTGACCCAAGGCTTCTGGCTGGGCCGTGGGAAAGGGGCTGCTGTGTAATGGAAGCACATGCGTGTGTGGTGTCACGTGGGGGCTGTGGCAATGCCACCCATCCGGGGCAGGCCACCTTACAAGGAAGCAGGTTTAGCATCAAACTGGTGTTTTGACCCAACTCTGAGGCCGCAGGGCTGTTTCTCTCCTTGCAGAGAGGAAGAGGTGTCCCAAGCACAGCAGCAGCTCTGCACTTTGTGTTTTGGAGGCGGTTTGGGGTATGGTCTTGCTGTAAGACAGAAATGTCAGAAGGGAGTAGTAAATGTTGCACCAAAGGGAACAAAATGTGCAACAGCTGGAGAGGGTCTGGGTCCAGCCAGAGGGAAGGGGAGCAGGCAGAGGTGGGGAGGTTGGGGTGTGCTGGGGGTGGCAGAGTGCAGGCACCCCTTGGTGCTCACCCTCCAGCCACACGTTTTTCAGGTCGCCTGTCACCAGCCTGCCCCAGTGCCTCGGGGTTTAGGCCCTGAATACCCCTGTGCTCCCTAAGGCCAGGGTTTGCCCAGGGAAAGTTTTCCCTTAGGGAGTTGCACAAGGGCAGCAGAAATGCCTTCTTGCTGTCTCAGTTCCTCCTTAAGCAGACTGCCCTGAGCAAAGCCAAACCCCTTGCTGCAGTGGTCCCTCTGGCTGGCAGCAGCCAGCTCAGCTCTCCTGGTGAAGCCGTGGGCCAGGAGCGAGAAGCTGCCCTGAGCTCCCCTGTGGCCCAGCGTGCCTCCCCTGTGGCCCTGAAGGCGTGCATTGCACAAAT